GTTTATTTTAGATCGGTGTGGCAGCAGCAATATACAGTAAATAAATCAATAAATCCACTGCTCTCTTGTCTCCTCTGAGGATGGGACTGTAGTGTTTTGTGCAGCCAAAGACAGAACAGTTAGCATGTTTTGCTCAAACTTTCGCATGTCATTAGAACTAGTACACCGTTATCGCTTGCGAAAACACAATGACTGCACAGTGGGTGTAAATTTACAGATTAAGGGGCAGTAATATTATAATGAAATCCCTTTGACACGTCACCAAGAGAGCGAAATCAGATGCGCTCGTTTTCTCAGACGCTTGCAGAAAAAGGCTTCCCAAAACCAAGTTACTGGGATAATCTTTTTCACCTTTCCTTGGTTGGTAGATGCACTGGGAACCTGATTATAGCTCTTAAAACCTGGAAAAGTCAGATTTTCATGATGTTTTTTTTTTTATTATGCCGATTGTGTATGTTTGAGAAATCCGAGCATTTATGATTTGTTTCCTGTGTTGGCTTTTTTTTTTTGGAAATACAAACTGTTTATTGCTATATATAAAATAATCTGATGAGATTTGACTGAGAGCGAGTATGTTTGAGCGAGATAATCTGTCGCTGCATACTGTCTGACTGTCGTTACTTTGTGTCTCCAGTTACACCGTCTGATTTGTTTTCACATTTGCAGTTTAATTTGTTTTTTGTTTTGGTTTTCCCACACTTTGCAGTGTTTGTTCTCTCCATCTATAACTGTACAGCAAATCAGAAGAAATACCATAATGACTCTTTAAAAAGTGGCACCTTATAATTCATACACATTTTATATTTATTTCTTTAAACACCCGGCATAATCAGCTGAATTACTTGCATGTCTAATATGAATTCATACAGTAGCCAGTGACCACTAAATTTTGATGGCTCGGACATCTTGCTGCAGGTGGAGGAGGAACTGCTGGAGCAGGAGTTTCTTGAGCGCTGTTTCCAGGAGATGTTGGAGGAGGAGGATCAGGATTGGTTCATTCCAGCCAGAGACCTTCCCCCTGGAGTAGGGCAGATCCAACAGCAGCTTAGCGGGCTGTCGGTCAGTGACGGAAACGCCGAAGACATTGCAGTAAGTATTACAGCGTAATGATTTGATGCTTGATTTACAGGTATTTAAGCTAAACAAATCTTGCATCCTTCCTGAAAGGAAACCACTTTGTAGATTTCAAATAAACTTTGGTGACATTTTAATGTTGTAATATGTACTTTATCTGTTTTTTTCTTCGACAGCGCAAGAGCAGCTTGAACCCAGAGGCCAAGGAGTTTGTTCCAGGCGTGAAATACTAGAGACCCTCCAGTTAGGGGCTCCTTTATAGAGACTTTATGTGACCGCTGGTGGCCAGGGGTCACCCTCACACATACTTCAATCTTCCTGGGGTTGTGTGGGGCTTGATGGGGTGGGGCTTGTGGGTGGGGGGTGGGGGGTGCTGGATGCTCTTCTATAAGCTTTTTATTTCTGTCTGTCTCCATGTATAACGTGGGCGGGTTACTCAGTGTAATGTTCCTATTGGACCGCTGCAGATTGTAACTAGTTCTCCTGGAAGATCTTTGTATTAATCTCAGAGGAACAGTTATGTGATTTCCACTATTGTGATAGTGACTAGCAGTTTGCCCCCGTGTCATTGCCATCTTTTTTTTTTTTTTCCTGTCTTTTATTTTCTTTAAAAGGACGTTTGGTGGGGAGGTGTGTGTCATAAGAGTGGGAGGGTAAAGGGCTGGGACAAAGGAAACCTGACAGTACAAGGACCGTTGACGGGTGGACCATTCTATGATGGACTGAACTGGTGGCAGCTGACAACTTTTGAGGGATTTTCACAGAAACAGTTTTTCCGGTTTCTTTTCTCCTTCCTCTGTTGAAGTTCTGTCACAGTGTGCAACATTAACAAAAATGGAAAAAAAAATCTAATAAAACAAGCAGGTTCCCTCTTGGACATGTTTTTGTGTTTGTGCATTTAAAATAAAGTAAACTAAACTTCAGCCCTGAGCGTTGTCAACCAGTCTTTTGGCTGGTATCAGGGGAGATAAACAAGTAGACCAGTGAGATTTTACAGTGCCTCACGCAAACTGGACCGGTCGTTAGAGGCCTGCAGAAGATTAAATGCTGATCAAATGGTGAGCTAAATTATTTCAGTAATGTGAAATTTATAAAAAATTAAGTTCAGCGGCTACGAAATGGGTTCTTTTCCAAATAATTTGTTTATTTTATGACATCTGAATGTCAGATCATTGTTCTTAAAGGAATAGTAAAGCCAAAAATGAAAATTTGCTTGAATTTACTCATCCTCAGGTCATCCAAGATGTAGATGAGTTTGTTTCTTCATCAGAACAGATTTGGAGAAATTAAGCATTACTTCACTTGCTCACCAATGGATCTTCTGCAGTTAATGGGTGCCATCAGAATGAGAGTCCAAACGGCTGATAAAGCACCACTTTAATCCACACAACTCCAGTTCCACTTCAAACCGTCACATCTGACCAAAACAAACCCAAAACAACTTTTCTGCCTGTGAGTAAGTCCATCCCCTATTGTCCCCTTACATCAAAATTAACCAACATATTTGTTTGGAAATGTTTTGGCCTAAGCACATTTAAATTTTTGCGTGAGCTATTCCCTTAATTGACAGATGCATTATATTGTAACTTGTCAGCAGTACCTTTTCTTTTTTGCTACATTGAAGGAGGGATTTTCCCCAGCGTCTGTCTTGTGGTTACTCCATTGACTGGAGAGCCTAGACATCAAATTTTCATTGCATGACTGCTTACATTTTAACATATTTGTTTGGAAATGTTTTGGCCTGTTCTCGCTTGTAAACGTTGCTTGATCTGTGCATGTTTCTGACAAAATGACTTTTTAACTGGAGAAAGCGATATTAAGCACATTTAAATTTTTGCGTGAGCTATTCCCTTAATTGACAGATGCATTATATTGTAACTTGTCAGCAGTACCTTTTCTTTTTTGCTACATTGAAGGAGGGATTTTCCCCAGCGTCTGTCTTGTGGTTACTCCATTGACTGGAGAGCCTAGACATCAAATTTTCATTGCATGACTGCTTACATTTTAGTATGTGTTTGCTTGGAGCACTGTTTGGATTATTCAAGTGCAGACAAACATGCCATGTGTTGCTTAATCAGACACTAAAGAATGAAACGCGTGTCATTGTGAAACTGCTCCACCTTTTGGAAAAAGGGTTTGTATTATTTCTGCTTATAAGGGCAAAGAGTATTTCATACCTAACATTCCATTTTTGATTCATGGATGTTATATTTATTTAATTGTAGAGTGCTGCATCAGTTTCTTTTTGTTCGTTTTGTTTTTAATCCTTTAAGCTTTTTGTATTGCGTTGATGGTTATAAAATAATTTACCATGATTTTTTTACCAAGATACCTTGTCTCATAGGTATTGTTCTGACACTTTCTTAGATGTATGCAGATCTTTTACCATATTAACTGTCCTTGCATTAAAGGGGTCCAGATTTCCCTTACAGCTGGCAAGGGTACAGTATAAATTTGGCCAGAGATCTGTGGAACAGAAGATATGAAAAGCAATCAAGATGAAGTGATGAGCAAGAGTCTGGACACACTGTTGTGACTATTTCTTGCTACCTTAAGTCTCTGACATTCAACAGTTGAATTGTCAGAGGATGATGACGGGTTTTATATACTTAATCCTTTGAGTAATAGTGAGAAAGATGTTTGTGAATGACTGTTCATAGACTATTGCTCACTAAGATAATACTGTGTCTGGCTGTGCGTTTATGTCTGTGCATGTACTTCTGAAGTGAGGTTTGGAGACTACAAAATGTTTCCGCTAGCTCTGTATGTGCTTAAGGAGGGTTTCCAAAGAAACATACTACATTTTAAATGCTTTAAAATGTTAAATTTCAATATATTGTGTCACTATAGTTGTCCATATCCGAGGTGTATAACCTCATGATCACCTCAATTCAGTTATTGAGAAGTTTAAGAAGATGATTTAGTGGGGTAAAGATATTGTTTTAAAAATATATTCTAGGGCAAATACATTTTGATTACAAATGGTGCAAACATTATATAAACATTTTTAAACGAGATTTTACCCAAAGTGTAAAGCAAAAAGGCTCCCCAGAGGAGAATATATTGTATGATGAAAATTGGTCAACATATGAAAATACTGTCAAGATTTTGTTAATAAATGTAGAGTACATACTCAAAATAACCAGTTCAGCAAACCGTGCCCAATTTTTTAGTCTCGTGGTTACTCCATTAACTGGACAGCCTAAACATCAGTCCAAAGCCACTTGGAGATACATTTTCTTTGTATGACTCTTTGCGTTTTATTATGTATTTGCTTAGAGCACTATTTGGTTTACCCAAGTAATCTAACTTTGGAATTACAAGGCTTCTTAAATATTAAAAACTGCTCCATCTACTTTTGCTAAATTAATAGTGAAATTCATCCCCTCAAAAATATAGTAAGCAATTTACTGCCGTTTTACAGCCCTCTGCTGTTCTGAAGTATGTAGTTTAAATATGGGCATGTGATTCTAATTAGTGATTTAAAACTAAATATTTGTTATCTTAATATGTTTATTTATACTTAATGTCCAACTGCAGAGAGTGATTCCTAGGTGGAGTATAAAGTGAAGATGCACAGTCCAAAACCATGTTTTTGAGATAAAGTTTTTTTTAGAATATTGCCATATTATCTAGCTGTTTGATGTTTATATATTGTAATTAGGCCAAACTGAGCCATAAATGTTGAGGAAATAAGAAAAACATTCAAATTTATAATTCAGACACAAATCAAGTGAATATTCATTGCTCGATATCAAACAGTGGCAGTTTTTTTTTTCATTAAGAGGTGGAGTCTAAGTGTACAATACTCTAACTCATGTAATAGGCTTGGTTATATGTTTTAACAGTTAAAGGAGGTCACATTGTGCTGGGACAGGATACACTACTTGTTAAAGCACTTTTTTGAGCTGTCAGAGTAAGCAGACATGGACACTCACAGGAAACAAGGTGAAGTTTACCTACAACATCAGAAACATGGTGAGGTAAGGGACATCATTAGAGCGTTGTCATTTATGTTTTTGCTATTGAAAACAGGCAGATGTTTTTTGTGTTTGTCAACCTCAAGTCTAAAACTACAAAATGTTCATAGCTGATCTAAATAAAACCGTTTTATTTAAATAGTTTACAATGATGTTACACGTATTATTAATATTATGGTTTGTAGCATTCAGAAAGATTGGAGAAACAAAGTAGGGCAGTCATATAAAATGTATACAATGATTTTAAGCCTGATGATATTTGCTTGTACCTTTTTAATATAACTCACCATGCCATGGCATGAACTCTCTGGTGTAGGGTTATATTCTGCTATGAGATCGATGGAACGAGACTGCCTCTACAAGTTGAAACTTGGTGTGCACATCTCTGCCTTGCTTTTTGTATCAATTACCCAAAAGGTACATGCATATTCATGTTTAATACTATAAACTAAAATAAATTAATTGTTAATTGCATTTATGTGTATATAGTATGTTATATATGTGTTATAATTAATTATACACTACAAGGCAAAAGCTTGGGGTCAGTAAGGATTTTTAAAAGAAATTAATACTTTTATTCCACAAGGGCCCATTAAACTGATCAAAAGTGACAGTAAAGACATTTACAATGTTACAAAAAAATATAATATCAGCATATTAGAATGATTTCTGAAGGATCATGTGATGTTGAAGACTAATTAATGACTGCTGAAAATTCAGCTTTGGCATCACAGGAATAAATTACATTTTAAAATATATTAAATTAGAAACCAGCTGTTTTAAATTGTAATAATATTTCACAAAATTATTTTTACTGTATTTTTGCTCTGTCTCTTAAACATTATTCTAAAAACTATACACTTTACAAAATTGTATGTTAAAATGACATGTAGCCTAATACAATAAACAATTTTTTTCTTATAGTAACTTATAGCTAACATGTTAAATGAGTGCTTACAAATATTTTTGACTTTCTCTCTGTTCCTCTCTAGATGCTGTTTTCTATAGAAGCAGGCAGGCGTTGTGAATCGGGTCCTGGAACCTTTAACTTTGAGGCCAGACAGAGTGACGAGATCCTTCGTATTATTGAGTCGGCTATTCGCCAACAGAAGAGCCTTGCTGTTACTGGAGACAGGCAGTCGCCACATTCTCCACGTTCTCGTTCTCCTCGCTCACCCCTGCCCAGACGCCCGGAAAGTTTTACTTTGCTTGATACGGAGGGCAGCAACAGCCCTCAGCCTTCAGATGCAAAACTGCCCTTGAACCCTAATCCAGCAGATGTCCTTGGCCTAAACATATATGCTGTACATACAAAACCTGCAAGTCCTATTGGCTTAACCGAACCTGTGTATGCAAACCCTGCAGATTCCATTAGCTCCTCAAAAAGCACACACTCAGACCCTGGTGGCAGTATTAGCTTGATTGAGCCTGTGTATTCAAATCCTGCAGTTTTAATAGGCAGTCATGAATCTGTGTATGCAGATATAAAGACAGATCCTCTCCCGTCTCATCATAGGGATGAATCAGAACCAGTGTATTCTGATCCTGCAGATGTCATCCGCCCAAAACCTAACAATTGTGTCCAAGCCAAACCGACCGACACCATTGACTACCGGCCTGTCAAGACAACACCAAACAATGGCAAGCAGCAAGAACCTGTGTACTCTGAGGTGTACAACCATGTCAAACTAAACACAAGTAAAAGACTTAACCAGAAGACTGAGGAGCCCATTTATAGTGTACCTGAGATTGTACAGTCAACTCAGAATAATAACTCTCAACAAAACAAAATGCCTGAGGAGAACCAACCCATCTACAGCAAAGTTAACAAACCACCCAAAACCCCTCAGCCATTCCATGAAAAGAAGCTAAGCCAAACACCGGAGGTCGTCTCTGAGGACCTTGGAATGATTTGATTAAATCTGTAATATGTGACCACAAAACCAGTCATAAGGGTCAATTGTTTGAAATTGAGATTGAGATCATCTAAAAGCTGAATAAATGAGCGTTCCATTTACATCAAAAATTAAACTTTAATATATTTACAGTAGGAAATTTACAAAATATCTTCATGAAATATGATCTTTACTTAATATCCTAATGATTTTTGGCATAAAAGAAAAATCAATAATTTTGACCCATACAACTGTATTGTTGGCTATTGCTACAAATATACCCCAGCGACTTAAGACTGGTTTTGTGGTCAAGGGTCTCACATAAAGTCTTCACAAGTAGCTATTCATATTTAATATTTAAAATGTATGATCCCCCCCACACACACACTAATTTCATTGTTAATCCATTCTTCAAGATGTTGTGGAATGGTGACTGCTCTGTGTAACACTGATGCACATTATGAAAAATGTATCTAAAAAAAAAAAGTAAATTAAAAAAATATATATATCATTTTTGTTTTGTTTTACAAGCCCAAACATGTTGCATGTATTATTTATGTATTTTCTTGGTGTACCACAGCAGAATTAAATGATTATGTTATGAGATCTCGGCATCTTTCACAGAAAAGCTTCAGTGGCTAAAATCTCAGCAAAGCTCAGAACAGTTAAAAAATAAATAATTCCGGTATCCAGTCAAGAAACAGATTTGAAACGGTATGCGTTAGTAAACACAATTTTCATTTGGGTTGAATATTCAAAAAGCCAAACGGTTTAGCCGCAATTAACCAAACTATAACTAACAGAGTGGCCAAAACAACAGTCATAGTTTTATTAATTCAGTAAATGTATTATTGAAGAGTGTCGACGCTAGATTGGTGTGCGCTGTGAAAGAGTCTTTATGGTTTTTACGTCACTACTACTGACCGGAAGTGCATAGCGATATCAAACCCGAGCAAATGAGTGTTATTCCCACGATGTTTTGAAGATATGTCTTTACATTTTTGAATTTACTATCATTTTTATCCAGCTGCCAAATCACTGAACGTTTATTGAAACGTGCTGTAGGACGCGTAAACGTTAACCATGTCTAATCGCATCGCTTTCCAGACTCAGTTAGCGTCCATTATGGAGGTGCTGGCAAATGCAGCGGTGGCTGAGATATGCAAACTCGTAGACGACGACTACGCGGTTATAAACTTACAGATGACCCAATGTCAGCGTGAAAACAAAGCGCTGAAGAGAAAACTTCACATACTGGAGCTGAAGATGGCTCGAGGGTTTGCAGAGAGGAGGATTAGTTCACTGAATCGCACTAACCGGGTTCAAGTGAGCGCCGCCTTGTCAGACAAATACAGGAACCAAACTAACGGTGTGCGATCATGAAACCTTGTATGAAATATTCTGCCGTCAGTGTTTCTGTCACACCAAATATATTATAAGTCTAATGTGGTTCAAGTATTCTGATTTGTGTTGTTTCACACACCCAGACGTGCTGTATGGAGCTCAGTTTAACTCGGGACTGTGGAGAGGTGGAGGAACAGACTCAGCTGCTCAGCAAGTTGAAAATGTAACTAACAATATGGTAGGCAAGCCGTTATCTCTTTATGATAACCACAGTAACTGGTTTAGCCACTTTTCATTGTGACATTTGTAGTAATGTGCCCAAAGGTTACAACAGATAGATAGATGTATAGATAAACTGTTAGAATCAAGTACACTGTATTTGTATAGCGCTTTCCATAATACTGATGTTCGAAGCAGCTATTTACACAAAATGTTAATGACTTTAATGTCTATAATATCTTAATATCATCATGCTTTAAAAAGCATTTAGCAGATTCACTTTTCATATAGACATACATTATAGGTAGATCTATCCATAGATTGACAACAACAAAAAAAAGATAAAACAAATCATATATTTAAGATATATTGACTGTCATATATAAATGGATAGAAACAGCTGCAACTGTTGAACATACATATCTGTATGATATATATATAGATTTTGATTTCCTTTCATTAAAGACAGGAGATGCAGTATTATCAGAAGCGGACACAGTGCTGATAAAGGATGAGATGTTTGAGGAGGACCAAACACAGCAGAGACTGTTCATCAGAGATGGTGGTGAGTGGATAGAAGAACACAAGCCGCCTATTATAAAATTAACAGAGGTTGGGTAACTATCAGCACCCATTTTAAAGCTTGTCTTGACACTGTTTCTCTTCTTTCAGGAGTAAAAGAGGCAGGTTTTGGTGATGTTCAGGTGGTGAAAGATGATGATCAGGTCTCTGGGATGCAGCAGCCGACTTTGGAGGTCAGTGGATCTGACACTGCGCTTAAATCTGAGCCAGAGTTTGAGAGTGTTAAGGTGATATCCCAAGAGCCCGTAGAATTACATGCTGAAGGAAAGTTTGATTTGAATGGAAAATCCAGTCCTATGAGGGATTATTTTATGCAAGGGAGTGACAATGCAGACTTGCGGCTACGATCTTGCACGTACGTGAACAATGCAAGATCAGCTGAGAGCCAATGCACAGACACTTTGCGCCGTTCAGAGGTCATAGAGGTCGACTCTGCAGAAGAGGGGGAAGAGATTTCTGTGTGGGCTAGCAAAGTAGCACTTGGGAAAAGCCAAGCTCCACATGTTTATCACCAATACGGGAGGGAGGAACGTCAGGATAGCAGGATCCTTTTGCCTTCTAATCCGCTTCTGGTGACAAATGACTTTGCAGCAGTGGCATCAACATCTTCAAAGATACAGGGTATGGACAGCTACCACCACAATGCTAGAGATGTCATATTTAACCAACAAAGAGTTGGTCAGACTAGAAATGACAGAGTTCCTCGTGAAAAACTTTTTGCCTGCACATATTGTGGCAAAGTTTTCAACCGCCCCAAAAAGGTTGTGATCCACCAGCGGATTCACACGGGTGAGAAGCCATTCAAGTGTAACACCTGTGGGAAGTTCTTTTCAGAGGCGGGAAACCTGCGAAAACACCAGAAAGTCCATACAGGAGAACGACCGTATAGTTGTTCTCAGTGTGGACAGACGTTTGCCTGGATACGAAACCTCAAAAACCACCAACAGAAGTACCATCCTGATATGTTAACTGCAGAAGGAATGGTTTCTCTAGGAGGAGTCAATAAATGATCACTAGATTACTGCTAATGAGTGTGTCTTATGCCACCATCATATCTCTTCTGGATAAGACTTTCATTTAAATTATATACACGATTTTCATGTACATTTGATCAATAGGGATGTGAGTCAAAGTGTTTTTTTATATATATAATTAGCAAACTCCGTGTAAATCTCTGTCCTGTGGTGTACTGTAGAAAAAGGTGAAGCAACTTAGTCGAAATGCAGTTTTTGGTATAACAACTGTTGAACATTTTTAAATAAACATTTCTGTACTCATTTTGTGTTTGTTTTTTTGAAGAACATTGACCCTGAAGGCAGGTAGTTGGAGGAAGTAAAACCTTATGGAAACATCTGGTGGTCACTGCCTTTGCAACCACAAGTATAAAAGTTACTTATCAATATCAGAACAGTGAAAACGTATTTAACTAATATCCAGAATTTAGTCAGCACTGTGCAATAACATAATTTCAGATTTTCCATTTGAAAAACCATAACACTATGATGAATGATTAGATCCACATACTGCACTAAAGGAAACACAGCCATTATTGTACTGCACTTTGGTCAATGCACTGTTGTTTTAATAGTGCTTTTATAAATAAACTGATACTGAAACATTGATAAATACTCTGGTTGTTCAACAGTAGCATAAATACTTACCCACCTTTCTTTAAAAAAAAAGAAAAGAAACATCCACAGCTCTTTGTACTGTCCAACTTCAGTTATTAGGAACATTATGACACCCTTACAATCCACTGAACACAATTCATCATATATAAGAAATTCCTAGTTAATTTACACATGGAAAGCTTTAGTAAATTACCTTGATGTTTATGTGCCAGCCAGGGCCATCTTGTAACACAAAACCTTGTTTCATGTGTTCAGCAGCAAAGACAGGTGGAAGACGGAGAGCCAGAAACAATAGTGATAAAGGAGGATCTGAACGACCAGTGGGAAAGAAGCCAGACACAAGCCATAATTGTGCAAGATGGTGAGTAGAAGGCCAAAAAAAGCAGTCCTCTCTTTGGTGCTCAAGTCAGATGTAGAATAGTATGATACCATTTGTGTTTAATTAAATGTCTTTGTTATAATAAGAATTTGCCGCTGCAACAGAGCTCAAGTATAAAGGCTTGCTCAATAAGACACAGTGGCAGTGAATTGCTGCAGCAATAAAAAACCTCGTAGATCTAGAAGGTGGTGCTGGGGTGGAGGAGGGTTAAGATGAGCACACAGTCTGGTAGGACCGGTATTAAATACTAACCAGGATAGGAAAAAAGGAGGCTGCTGAAGCCAGTCAGAGGCACATTAGAGTTTCATGACTGAACTAGTCATACTTTGGTCTGGAATCTAGTATCCAAAAAATGACCATTCATTCTCTTTCCTCAGCAGAGTCAAATACAGAAAATTGTAGCGGACGACTTTCTACCTCACCAGCCAAAAGCACAGGTGCACCTAGTGCAGAGAAGGTTTGTTGATTTTCTGTTCTCTTAAGATGCAAAAAAACTAGGACAGAGCTAAAGAGTGCCAAGAGGAAAGTGTCACATCACCTCTGCAAAGAATAAACGTAAGCCACTTTAGGATCAAAACAACAACAACAAAAAAATGAATGTAGTTTTATTTTGTTTCCAGCCTATAGAGGTGGAGTTTTCCCATTTGAGTGAAAATGGACAGGATAGGAGCCAGAGAACCAACATTTCTCCATCCACTGGACTGCAGATACAGGGTGAGTAAATGTAAAAAAGTAAACAGATGAAGGTTAACCTTTCAACGCATATTTACACTGCATATGTTTGCATGAACTCTACATACAACAACTTTACTAAACAGATTTAAATGTCATCTTAAATTTAGAGCTATTTGCAGATTAAAAGTACTCTGACAGTATCTGAACGTATTTATATCCAGGTACTGCTGAGTCCAGTCAAAGTAGTTCTCAACAGCACCAGTACCACAGGTTTGCACAGGTTCGACCCAGCAAGGGTCTAACAACAGGAGAAACTGCAGCTCTCACAGGCTCAGGACACTTACACAAGGGAATGGTGAAAAGCAGAACTTCACCCACAAACCAGCCTCTGCTCAGCAGAGAAAAGACAGCCACTGAAATGTCAGGAACAGACTGCTTGTTGTATGACAGACCTGCAGAACCTAAAAGCAGCTTTACGCACTGGCCCACACATCCATCCTGCTCATATACAAATTTGGACCAGGATCAAGACTGTATGCTGGTTCAGTCAGAGACTGTATCATCTATTAGAAGCTCCAAAGGTGGACGGGATGGAGCATCATCTACCCGAACACATGCTGTAAGCAATGCAGGAGCAGCAGAGGGACCTATAAGAGAAGAGGAAAGGTGGAATCAAGCTGCCATTTTGAGGCAAAGCCAAACTGAAGCATCAGGGCAAATCAGTAGTCCCGAAGTGATTCAGACAGAGACTGCAATTAGAACAAACCCTTCATATTTACCCCAAATTATGTCCAACCTAACTCAGCCTGGGGCTTCTCTTGCTGGGCTGCAGCTACCAAAGCACATGGAGAAAGGTAGGCGGAAAAGCTACGTTTGTAAGTACTGTGGAAAGGCGTTCACTGGCTTGTCCAACGTTGTGACCCACCAGCGAGTGCATACAGGCGAGAGGCCCTTTAAGTGTGACACGTGTGGGAAGCTTTTCACAGAGGCAGGCAACCTCAAGAAACACCAAAGAGTTCACACAGGAGAGAAACCCTTCATCTGTCCCCGCTGTGGGAAACGATTCGCCTGGATCTGCAACCTAAAGACCCATCAGCAGTCGGCGTCCTGTGGAGGAGTCTGATATAACATATCTGATGACAATGCAGGGCTTCCAACTCCTGCCTCTTATGAACCCAGCAGTCTTCTGAATGTCAAAGGAATCATTATAATATTCATGGAATAATTTACACAATAAAGAAAAGGGGCATAAAAAATAAAAATAGAAACATTAGTAGGAAGATTAAGGTCGGTAGATTAGCATCGGTTAAATCAATTTGTCTTCGGTGTGTTTTAATAATGACTGTCCGTGGATTGTAATATTAAAAGCGAGCAGCAGGTGGTGCACGAACACAAATAAATGGAGCGTCCATCGGCGTTTACTTTTGTATTACCCGCACGGTATAAACGGATTTTGCAATACAAAAAGTCAGCTTTTTTTAAGTACTGTAAATATGGTTATTAAAGGTATTTAATCATATAGAAGTATTGGTGTGTATGCAGCGGTAGAAGCATATATTGACTGTTTCGAATATATTGGTCAAATGATTTTATGTATCTGCCCGGCTAGCTCAGTCGGTAGAGCATGAGACTCTTAATCTCAGGGTCGTGGGTTCGAGCCCCACGTTGGGCGCAAGTGTTTTTGTAAATATGTTTTTTTCCCCCAGATAATAGTTCTACCAACATAACCTGAACTCTAAGCGTTGCTCTGATATTTTCCAGCATCTTGCATATCCAGATCTCCAACTGACAACTCACTGTGGAAACTGTTGAAATTAGTTTATAAAGCTTGTAGATGTCTGCAAGATTAGATTTTATGTAAATTAGTTGCTTCTTTAAAGATCTTTTGGAACCTTTATGATTCATGTTAATCTAAGATTTGAAATAAAACTGTAAAAGTTGTTGAAGCTGAGAATTAAAAATTGGTTTCTTTATGAAAAAAGGAACCAAATATAATGCTTGAAATAATAATAATAATAATAAAAACACAGCGAAATAAAACACTTAGCAGAGGATGGTTTCGATCCATCGACCTCTGGGTTATGGGCCCAGCACGCTTCCGCTGCGCCACTCTGCTGATTAAAACGTAGGGTTTGTTTTGTGCGTATGAGTTTCTTGATTCTCTTGAATTTCTTCAAATATATGGTGTTTTTTTATGAGACAGAATGTATTTAAAATTGTTTATTTTACATACCAGTCGACACTTTATCATACCATTGTCCAGACGATTTTCTGTGATATTCTTATAATTGTGTATCTATGGTGTTCACATGCGCAAATACTTCAGCACAATATATTATTCAGAACTTTTTAACTTACAATACGACTGTAAAAAAAACTGTCATTCCCTGACCGGGAATCGAACCCGGGCCGCGGCGGTGAGAGCGCCGAATCCTAACCACTAGACCACCAGGGAGAGCTACAAATACTGGTTCGCGTAAATTGTTAACGCTGAAGTTTACGTTATGTAGTTATTGTGGTTCATTGTATTCGCAAAAACAGTTGAAATTGAATTAACTCTGCTTACCATGGTAATTGGAATGAACCACATCAATTCTATTACGGTAATAAAGTCCTAGAAATTTGATCTGTATGACGGAACACTGTCAGCTCATAAAAAAGTTTGTTACGATTAATATTGTGTAGTAGTATTCATATGTTGTATCTAATGCATGATTATTCATATTACTATGCATTGTCTTTTCTTGTACTGATGAAAATAACAGTAAATAATTACAAAAAATACATCATTTACATTAACATACTCCCACATTTCGCCTAAAAACTCACATTGGTGGTCAGTAGCCTAGTATAATTACATGATATATAATTATACTTTTCCCGGATATGCACAAAGTAATATGCAATGTGTGATATTCTGAAATTCAAAAAGTCATTTCCTTTCCCCTCTGTCCTATCCTGTTACCACTTCACACTGTTTTCCCTCTACCTTCTCTTCTTGCTCTTCTCCAGTTTCCTCATCTTCCTCCACAGTGACTTTTACATTTCCCTCTGGGCTTTCTCTGTGCCTCTGTTCTCTCAGTGCAGATGGCAGGCAGTTGACCAGGAAAAGGAGAGAAGAGAGACAGAGAAGAGAAAGGACAGCTCCAATGCCAATCTCTACTTGTCTATCAGCAGTTTTAACCTCTTTCCTCTCTTTTTCCACCCCAGGAGATAAATACACGGCACTCTCTTTATGGGTGGGAATCAAAACTGCCTGCTCCAAGTCATTTCTTCTGAACAAGTCATTATCAACAACATAGACACTTGTGGAATTTATCGTCGTATTTTGCTGATCTTCTAAGTTAACATACAGATCATTGTTGGAGTCAACAAACATATCAGTCACATCATGCATCTCAAAGTTGGTTTCTTCACTTCCCATTGGCCAAAAGTCCATGTTCAAGTTCACCCTTATCCAGCCAGAGCCTTTAGACAATCTTTTTGCTTCACTTCCTTTTTGGATTACTTCCGGTTCAACGTGGTTAAATGTTGGTTCACAAGTGGAGACCAGAAGTTCGGCATTCACAAGAGGCCCTCCGCCATCACCTTGTGCTAAAATGCGCTGGGATGGAGCAGGTGTCACAGCAGCCACAGACTCAGCCAAAGAGGAGATCCGGAGAATATAGGGAATCCCACTAAAGGCATAGACAGGTATGGTGGTGTCATCATCAAACTGGATCCAAACACTGATGGATGCTTCCTAATAAAAAAGAGTGGAAATAATGAGTACTAGAACAAGGCTGGTATATTAGTGTTAAAATGTTTGCACACAGTATACTTACTTGCCCATGGTTGTACAGTGTGTTGTGAGTATCCACTGTTGCTGTGACAATAGATGGATGAGATGGGCTGGAATTAATGGACAGGCCAAGCCCTCCCACCAACTGAACTGAGAGGTCACCAGGAGTGACTGGTTCAGAGGTTACAGTGACATTAGCACTTCCAAGCACTCCATCCCACTGACTTGATATCACCTTGAAAAACAGAAATATGTGAAGCAATGGGAGGGGAGGGGGGGGCCAAGATAGGCCCACATTTATAGGAATAGTTCACCAACAAATGAAAATCCAGTCGTTATTTAATCACCTTCATATTGTGTCCTGTAGGACTTTATTTCTTCTGTAGACCACCAAAGAAGATATTTTGAAGGTCCAAACAATAAAAGCCATTGGGGTCCAAAACAACGTTGGACCCCTTTTACTTGAATTGTATGGCCAAAAACGGAGACATTTTTAAGAATAATTTCTTTTGAGTTTCGCAGAAGACAGGTTTGGATTGACATAAATTACATCAAATTTTCATTTTTGGGTGAACCTTTAGGTATATTTAATTCAGATACCAACATATAATGATGTAATTCCAGGCTTCAAGCCAATTAGATGTTTTTGTTTATCAAGAGCAGCAATATACTGGTTTTCTATCCTCAGCCAGTCTCGGACAAGTTCAGTCACATCCACAAACCAATCGGGTGATCCGAGCATGTAGGTTGGTTGGCCTTGAGCTGCTGATTGGGCACTGAACTGTGCCAAAATCTGTATAGTGGACCTCTGATAAACTGGTTCACACCTAAGAAAGAGACATTTCAATTTCCTTATGATCAAAGCCATTACCTTGCACAGTCATTTGAACAGTCTGCAGAGGAATAACTAGTTAACTACATTAGTTAACATTAACTAACTATTTACTTAAAATCTTAATCTTAAAAGGTATTAAAGAGAGTATACTTTCATGAATATGAGTTTATTTGAAGTTAGTATATTTTAAATGTACTAAATTTCAACTTCATCATTACAAATATATTTAAATACATGACACAAGTTTTAATAGAAATGACGTTTACCATAAATGCTTGTCAGTACATTTGTCAGTATTTTAACCATATGTGAAAGGCAATAGAAGTAATTATGAAATTACATATAAATATGTACTTAAGTCCTACTTAAGTGGGTCAAAAGCACTCTTAAGCTCAACTAATTGAATTTAATATAAACTTAAACTATAATCCATTTTCATTTAATTGCAATTAACATGCAGTTAAGTGACCAAAAACATTATATTCAGTTCGTACTTAATTATAGTCTTTTTTAAAAGTATATTATTTCCGTAATACTCTTTTTAAAAGGATTTGCTTCGGTTTCACAAGGGAATGCATTAACTAACGTTAACTAATGGAACCTTATTGTTAAGTGTAACCAAATATTGCCTACCCACTCTCACTGTAGTAGCTCCAGCCTTTAATGGGACTCAGGACAGAGTCAGAGAGAGACACACGCAGTGGAACTATTGGAGCCCAAGCACAACCAAGCACAACCAAGCACAAAGAGCCACTGTGCATTCCCCAAAAAAACTCCAGCTCCACACAGATCCTGCCCCTTCCTGATTCACTCCCATCCACAAAAAGCACAGAGCAATCATGAGACACCTGCCATACAAGAAAAGAGCCATTAGATGAATTTATATATTTTATGCATCAGAACTGACCTCCTCCAAAATCGTTATACCTTGACAATATCTTCATTGTCTGAATGACACTTCACCGCTTTGGTAACATCTAATACTTTGCCATCAAGGTCCACCGCTAGGACAATGACTGGAAGTGACACAGGCTGGCTCGTCAAGATGGCTGTGTTGATAATTGTGTTGCTCTTGCCAATGAAAATAATAGGATCTCAGTAAACACTATGTTTTTCCTGTTCTTTACACATATTACATCAAACATCAAATAACAGTCTCAGACAAGTTGAAGACATTGGGACTTCTCATTCTGGTAGTGATCCTTATGATCATTTATTGGATGCATATGGAAATTAACTATATCTTGCTGATATACCTCTGTGATGGGGGCAATGCCCAACACTTCTCTGTCAGTAAAGGAGAAAAAGCTTGTCACTGGCCCATGTGGTGATACTGCAAATTTGCGTGTTGAGTACTCCACCCACCAGCTAGCAGTGACAGTCCTCGCTACGTCAAAGTTTCTGTGTAAAGCCTCAAATGAGAGACAGGATACCTGGCTTAGAGCAGAAGTGCTATAACACAAGGAAAGTGACACAGACAAAAATAAAAGTTTGGATGTCAGATTGTTGTTTGAACTAGCTTTCAGCAGGGCTGCCAACTTCAGCTTGGAGTTAGTCGCCCACATTGGGATAAGAGTCCTTTTGTCTTGTCTCAGAAAACAGTGAAAAGCTGTACAATAACTGCTGCAGTGCTACAAAACAAATAACTGCTAATGCTAACTTATTGCTACACATATTAGTTACTAACCTAAACACATTGGGGAGACACAGAGTGTAACCATAACCGTAACTCACTGACCTGCCTGCCTGTGTTCACACATTACAAGATGAGAGAGAGAGGCTGACTACTCAGCATGCATGAGTATAAATTACAACAAATTACAGACCCGACTGGTCTGAATAACTTGCTGATGTACTGTGCTGCCTGCTCTGTCTTTTGCAATGTGTGAACTCATTGTCTCCTTTGCTCCGCAATACTGTGGGAGAAAAAGGAGGTGTGGTGTAGCAACCCAAACTGAGTGACTCTTACACTGAAGCAGCCCTCAGGTTTGTGATGTATATCATGTCATGCTTTAAACAAGTACACTTATTTGAATGTGTTGACAAAAAGCTAAACTACAGCACATGAAGTACAAGTATATTTAAATACATGACACAAGCTTCAATATTACAGTAATTTTAATATAAATGTTTGTCAGCAGGCCCGGTTTTTGCCAGCTATAAAAGGGTGGGCTGGCAGATATCCTAGGTGTTTATTTTATTTAGTTTATACATTTATTTTATAATGTAATTTATTCCTGTGATGGATCTATTACTCCAGTCTGCAGAATCACATGCTTCTTCAGAAATCATTCTAATATGCAGATTTGGTACTCAAGAAACATTTCTTCTTATTATCAATATTGAAAACATTTCTCATTGTTTACTATTTTTGTGGAAACAAATTTTGGGGGGAAAAAAATGGAAAATATTTTTTTAAGGATTCTTTTATGAATAGAAAGTTCATAAGAACAGCATTTATTTGAAAAAGAAACCTTTTGTAACATTATAAATGTCTTTAATGTCATTTTAATGCATCAGTTTAATGCAAATTTGCCAAATAAAAGTCTTTTTTCTTTCAAACAAACTAAACTTTTGAACGGTAGTTTTTCTATACTATAATATATTGATATATAATAGATTAGTAGTGATTAATTCTAGAGTCAGTAATTATTCCTCTTACCCAGTGTTGTCTGGATGGGTACCAGTGCTGTGGTTAATGATGGAAATAACGTCACGTTTTGATCCCGTTGTCTTTTCTACATTAACCAGCCACAGGTCAGAGTTTGTGACTGGATGGACCTCCAGAGACAACAACCCTTTTTTCACTTTCAGTCTGGAAGAAAAAAAAAGTGAACAGTAATATTCAATAGATTATAGCATAAAATGTGCTGAGAAATTTTATGTAATAATATTAATGCTACATAATGGTCAGAGACTCCACACTAAAATTTGCCCTCAGGTTTACTGACACTCTTACTGGTCGTCCAGCTCGTACAGGCCCTTTGCTGAAGACAATTAGCACATTGGAATCCAACCAAAGTTTTTCCTCCACTTGTCTGTCTAAACATTTAGAGCTCTGCTCGGTCTTGTTGATCTGTTGATCTTCGAGTCCCACAGGACCAACGTAGTGAAACTTCCTCTCAGACTGCTGCAATACTTCCTCCACACATCGAGGGGGTCCGGCTTCAGGATTGGACACAATGCCAAAGGAAGAGTAGTAGAGCTGAATTTGATCAGTCTGGCCCCTGGGTCCTCGTGGCATATACGGGTGCCTTCTCTCACGGTTACGAGAACGAGAGCGGTTTTTGCTCAGGTGACGTTGCTTGAAAATCTGGTCCAGGTTTGCCTTGATGTTCTGAATAGGCTCAAACCAGTCGTTTGAAAGTGTCAGAGTGACCACACACAACCCAAAAGGTGGCTGAGAAGAAATGGAAGAATACAAAGTGGATTCCTATATGGCTAAATACTTACATAAATATAATAAATATAAACCAGTCAAAAGTTTGGAATAATTTGATGAAAAAAAATTTTTTAATACTTAAAAAAAAAGTAATATTGTAAAATATTTTTGCAACTTTTCATTTCAACATATTTTGAAATGTAATTTATTCCTACGATGGCAAAGCTGAATTTTCAGCAGCCATTACTCAGTCTTTTCCGTGTTATATGATCCTTCAAAAATCTAATATGAAATTCTAATATGCAGATTTTTTAATTGAATTTCAATTACATTTTAATTTCAAATTGCAATAAATGTAACAATATTTCTGTTTTTACCGTACTTTTAATAAAAAAATGCAGACTTGGTGAGCATAGGAGATGTTTTTCAAAAACATGAAAAAATGTTTGACCTGTATTATATAATAAATGTATATTTCTTATATATTTTAAATACATTTTACATATATTTTAATACACATGGCCAATAAATATATTTATAATTTATATTTTAAAATATATGTACATAAATATATATTCAATAAGTTTCAGTAACTTAAAGGGGTTCAAGTTTTCCTTTCTCTTTGGAGTGTTACAAGCTGATTGTGCATAGATAAGATCCCTGAAGTTGCAAAGACTAAAGTCTCAAAACCAAAGAGATATTCTTTATCAAAGTTAAGACTCTGCCACGCCCCCCTAAAACGCCTCGTTCTAACACGCCCCCACATATCTAGGTCACTATGTGGGAATATTTGCATAATACGTCCAAATGTGCACGCAAAGAAAGAAGGCGTGGTTTCAGTAACTTTGAGGGATTTTCACAGAAACAGTTTTTCCGGTTTCTTTTCTCCTTCCTCTGTTGAAGTTCTGTCACAGTGTGCAACATTAACAAAAATGGAAAAAAAAATCTAATAAAACAAGCAGGTTCCCTCTTGGACATGTTTTTGTGTTTGTGCATTTAAAATAAAGTAAACTAAACTTCAGCCCTGAGCGTTGTCAACCAGTCTTTTGGCTGGTATCAGGGGAGATAAACAAGTAGACCAGTGAGATTTTACAGTGCCTCACGCAAACTGGACCGGTCGTTAGAGGCCTGCAGAAGATTAAATGCTGATCAAATGGTGAGCTAAATTATTTCAGTAATGTGAAATTTATAAAAAATTAAGTTCAGCGGCTACGAAATGGGTTCTTTTCCAAATAATTTGTTTATTTTATGACATCTGAATGTCAGATCATTGTTCTTAAAGGAATAGTAAAGCCAAAAATGAAAATTTGCTTGAATTTACTCATCCTCAGGTCATCCAAGATGTAGATGAGTTTGTTTCTTCATCAGAACAGATTTGGAGAAATTAAGCATTACTTCACTTGCTCACCAATGGATCTTCTGCAGTTAATGGGTGCCATCAGAATGAGAGTCCAAACGGCTGATAAAGCACCACTTTAATCCACACAACTCCAGTTCCACTTCAAACCGTCACATCTGACCAAAACAAACCCAAAACAACTTTTCTGCCTGTGAGTAAGTCCATCCCCTATTGTCCCCTTACATCAAAATTAACCAACATATTTGTTTGGAAATGTTTTGGCCTAAGCACATTTAAATTTTTGCGTGAGCTATTCCCTTAATTGACAGATGCATTATATTGTAACTTGTCAGCAGTACCTTTTCTTTTTTGCTACATTGAAGGAGGGATTTTCCCCAGCGTCTGTCTTGTGGTTACTCCATTGACTGGAGAGCCTAGACATCAAATTTTCATTGCATGACTGCTTACATTTTAGTATGTGTTTGCTTGGAGCACTGTTTGGATTATTCAAGTGCAGACAAACATGCCATGTGTTGCTTAATCAGACACTAAAGAATGAAACGCGTGTCATTGTGAAACTGCTCCACCTTTTGGAAAAAGGGTTTGTATTATTTCTGCTTATAAGGGCAAAGAGTATTTCATACCTAACATTCCATTTTTGATTCATGGATGTTATATTTATTTAATTGTAGAGTGCTGCATCAGTTTCTTTTTGTTCGTTTTGTTTTTAATCCTTTAAGCTTTTTGTATTGCGTTGATGGTTATAAAATAATTTACCATGATTTTTTACCAAGATACCTTGTCTCATAGGTATTGTTCTGACACTTTCTTAGATGTATGCAGATCTTTTACCATATTAACTGTCCTTGCATTAAAGGGGTCCAGATTTCCCTTACAGCTGGCAAGGGTACAGTATAAATTTGGCCAGAGATCTGTGGAACAGAAGATATGAAAAGCAATCAAGATGAAGTGATGAGCAAGAGTCTGGACACACTGTTGTGACTATTTCTTGCTACCTTAAGTCTCTGACATTCAACAGTTGAATTGTCAGAGGATGATGACGGGTTTTATATACTTAATCCTTTGAGTAATAGTGAGAAAGATGTTTGTGAATGACTGTTCATAGACTATTGCTCACTAAGATAATACTGTGTCTGGCTGTGCGTTTATGTCTGTGCATGTACTTCTGAAGTGAGGTTTGGAGACTGTACAAAATGTTTCCGCTAGCTCTGTATGTGCTTAAGGAGGGTTTCCAAAGAAACATACTACATTTTAAATGCTTTAAAATGTTAAATTTCAATATATTGTGTCACTATAGTTGTCCATATCCGAGGTGTATAACCTCATGATCACCTCAATTCAGTTATTGAGAAGTTTAAGAAGATGATTTAGTGGGGTAAAGATATTGTTTTAAAAATATATTCTAGGGCAAATACATTTTGATTACAAATGGTGCAAACATTATATAAACATTTTTAAACGAGATTTTACCCAAAGTGTAAAGCAAAAAGGCTCCCCAGAGGAGAATATATTGTATGATGAAAATTGGTCAACATATGAAAATACTGTCAAGATTTTGTTAATAAATGTAGAGTACATACTCAAAATAACCAGTTCAGCAAACCGTGCCCAATTTTTTAGTCTCGTGGTTACTCCATTAACTGGACAGCCTAAACATCAGTCCAAAGCCACTTGGAGATACATTTTCTTTGTATGACTCTTTGCGTTTTATTATGTATTTGCTTAGAGCACTATTTGGTTTACCCAAGTAATCTAACTTTGGAATTACAAGGCTTCTTAAATATTAAAAACTGCTCCATCTACTTTTGCTAAATTAATAGTGAAATTCATCCCCTCAAAAATATAGTAAGCAATTTACTGCCGTTTTACAGCCCTCTGCTGTTCTGAAGTATGTAGTTTAAATATGGGCATGTGATTCTAATTAGTGATTTAAAACTAAATATTTGTTATCTTAATATGTTTATTTATACTTAATGTCCAACTGCAGAGAGTGATTCCTAGGTGGAGTATAAAGTGAAGATGCACAGTCCAAAACCATGTTTTTGAGATAAAGTTTTTTTTAGAATATTGCCATATTATCTAGCTGTTTGATGTTTATATATTGTAATTAGGCCAAACTGAGCCATAAATGTTGAGGAAATAAGAAAAACATTCAAATTTATAATTCAGACACAAATCAAGTGAATATTCATTGCTCGATATCAAACAGTGGCAGTTTTTTTTTTCATTAAGAGGTGGAGTCTAAGTGTACAATACTCTAACTCATGTAATAGGCTTGGTTATATGTTTTAACAGTTAAAGGAGGTCACATTGTGCTGGGACAGGATACACTACTTGTTAAAGCACTTTTTTGAGCTGTCAGAGTAAGCAGACATGGACACTCACAGGAAACAAGGTGAAGTTTACCTACAACATCAGAAACATGGTGAGGTAAGGGACATCATTAGATCGTTGTCATTTATGTTTTTGCTATTGAAAACAGGCAGATGTTTTTTGTGTTTGTCAACCTCAAGTCTAAAACTACAAAATGTTCATAGCTGATCTAAATAAAACCGTTTTATTAAAATAGTTTACAATGATGTTACACGTATTATTAATATTATGGTTTGTAGCATTCAGAAAGATTGGAGAAACAAAGTAGGGCAGTCATATAAAATGTATACAATGATTTTAAGCCTGATGATATTTGCTTGTACCTTTTTAATATAACTCACCATGCCATGGCATGAACTCTCTGGTGTAGGGTTATATTCTGCTATGAGATCGATGGAACGAGACTGCCTCTACAAGTTGAAACTTGGTGTGCACATCTCTGCCTTGCTTTTTGTATTACAGCACATTCCATTGCAAACACACGCCCTCATGAAAGTGCACTTCACGTAGTACTAGATTCAAGCCCTGCCTTACACACACAATACATGTGAGGTAAATGAGGGATTGGCTGAGTGAGTAATTATTACATCCATACCTCCAGCGTGAAGTGCTTTTTAAGATCTTTTTAATGCTAATATTTAGCAATCCGGAGACATGTTCCTTACCTGAAGCACAAATTCCACCTAATGGACTAGACCTTATTAAATGTGATAAATATCACTGTAGTTGTATAGCAGAAACATGGATGAAGGAAAATAATAAATAATATAAGTAATAATATTCTATTTGTTCTCAACAGAAGTGGAAGCGATATTGGTTGGCCCTTCATCCGGCTAGTCGGCACGGCGTCGCACGGTTAGAATTATCAGAGGCCGTTCATGAACGGTCAACTGTGGTGGTCAGAAGACATCCAGAGAGGAAAGTTGTCCGTCTGGCCGACTGCGTGACTGTCGTCAAGCTGCCTCCTCACGCAGAGGCTTGTCCAGGGGAAAACATGGCTGCTTTCTGTGTGGAGACAGAGGACAAGAAGCTTGTGTTTGCAGCAGAGAAAGAAAGCTGTGGAGAATGGGTGGCCATAATATGTAACATTGCCTTTCAGGTTTGGATTTTTTCAGATATGTTTTTATTACACACTATTATTCAAAATTTTGGGGTCAGATTTTATTAAACGAAATGCTTTTATTCAGCTAGGATGCACTATACAAAAGAGTCAAGATAAGTAAAGGCATTAACGACGTTATAAGATTTCTATTTCAAATAAATATAGTTCTTTTGAACTTTCTATTCTTTCTTCCAAAAGAATTATTGTTTTGAATGGATTTTTGTTTTAATAAATATAGCCTTGCTGAGCATAAAACAAACTTCTTTCAAAAACATCAAAAAAATGTTATGGACTCCAAACCTTTAAACAGTATGAAACAACAAACCATTTAAGCGGTATAAAGTTCAAGATCCCAATACAATGAAAAATGCAGATCATTCCAGCCACGTAACTGGTTATTTAAAGTACAGTACCCTTGACTCCACTCCCTGCTGCTAGTGTTTCTCACGGTATTCGTAATTTCACAGAAACACACTAAAAGTGCACCACAGCCAGTGCCTCTTATGGAAGACAATCAGATCTACATGTCCAGAGAACAATGTGAGTACAAACAATGGTCAAATGTATCATTCATGCTGTCATGTTCCTAAAAGGCCACTCTCACCACGTCATTGCTGTATAAAGACTGGATTTTTTTAACAAGCCAGCAGACAACACTGAACTACCTTGATGCAGATCTGGTTTAAAACATTAAACAGATGGTATAACCTTTGACCTCTGAATTACAGCTTTTTAAGGTTTAATTCTGATCTCGATGTCTCTTTCGTTTTAGTGTGCGAGTTTAAAGTGGGTGTACTGCAGAACGAGGCTTCAGTTCGATGTGGCCTGAATGGACAGTACTGGCTACAAGCTGGTGAGGACATGCTAGTTCTTCAAGATCTGGAGAACAGGAGGACTGTAATGGAGTGGCCATACAAGCTGCTGCGCCGCTATGGCCGAGATAAGGTCAGCAGAAAATACTTCATGTACATAAATAATTAGTTTCATCTTATTTCTGTTAAGTAAAATACAATCAGATGCGATTCTTCTGTTTGTGTGATGAATTATAAGATGACTCATATTGTTATTAGCAAAACAAAAAACATAATTTTAACAACAATTACCCAAAAGGTACATGCATATTCATGTTTAATACTATAAACTAAAATAAATTAATTGTTAATTGCATTTATGTGTATATAGTATGTTATATATGTGTTATAATTAATTATACACTACAAGGCAAAAGCTTGGGGTCAGTAAGGATTTTTAAAAGAAATTAATACTTTTATTCCACAAGGGCCCATTAAACTGATCAAAAGTGACAGTAAAGACATTTACAATGTTACAAAAAAATATAATATCAGCATATTAGAATGATTTCTGAAGGATCATGTGATGTTGAAGACTAATTAATGACTGCTGAAAATTCAGCTTTGGCATCACAGGAATAAATTACATTTTAAAATATATTAAATTAGAAACCAGCTGTTTTAAATTGTAATAATATTTCACAAAATTATTTTTACTGTATTTTTGCTCTGTCTCTTAAACATTATTCTAAAAACTATACACTTTACAAAATTGTATGTTAAAATGACATGTAGCCTAATACAATAAACTATTTTTTTCTTATAGTAACTTATAGCTAACATGTTAAATGAGTGCTTACAAATATTTTTGACTTTCTCTCTGTTCCTCTCTAGATGCTGTTTTCTATAGAAGCAGGCAGGCGTTGTGAATCGGGTCCTGGAACCTTTAACTTTGAGGCCAGACAGAGTGACGAGATCCTTCGTATTATTGAGTCGGCTATTCGCCAACAGAAGAGCCTTGCTGTTACTGGAGACAGGCAGTCGCCACATTCTCCACGTTCTCGTTCTCCTCGCTCACCCCTGCCCAGACGCCCGGAAAGTTTTACTTTGCTTGATACGGAGGGCAGCAACAGCCCTCAGCCTTCAGATGCAAAACTGCCCTTGAACCCTAATCCAGCAGATGTCCTTGGCCTAAACATATATGCTGTACATACAAAACCTGCAAGTCCTATTGGCTTAACCGAACCTGTGTATGCAAACCCTGCAGATTCCATTAGCTCCTCAAAAAGCACACACTCAGACCCTGGTGGCAGTATTAGCTTGATTGAGCCTGTGTATTCAAATCCTGCAGTTTTAATAGGCAGTCATGAATCTGTGTATGCAGATATAAAGACAGATCCTCTCCCGTCTCATCATAGGGATGAATCAGAACCAGTGTATTCTGATCCTGCAGATGTCATCCGCCCAAAACCTAACAATTGTGTCCAAGCCAAACCGACCGACACCATTGACTACCGGCCT